ACACTTGTCCTCATTACCCAAGATAGCTGCTGGAGCTCTAGCTATTCCTTCTGCATTCCAGACAGTAAGAAGGAAGAATGGGAAAAACAAAAGAGGCCTCTGTCAGAGAAGTCAGTTCCCATTAAACAGGCTTCCCAGAAATCCCACACAACATTTCTGCTTACATTTAATGAGTCAGAATTCAGCCAACTGATCCCACCTAGTTAAAAAGAAGGCTGGAAAATGTTCTCTTTGAACCAGCCATGAGACCTTCTAAAAACTGAGGCTCTGTGAATAACGAGAAAAGGAAAATAGATTGAGGGGATGAACACCCAGGAGTCTCTGCTACCCCTGATGCTTAATTTTAAAGCAGAAACCATCAGAATGATTAATCAGTATGGTCTTTCCCTTTATGTGACCTTCTCTCTCCAGTCTGTGAATTACTACAACATCCATGCAACTATTTTATTTTCCTTTTGTTGTTGTTAATACTGCTTTGGCTGTTTGATACCTCCACTCTGAAGTCCATGTGTCCAACAGACATCTAGAACTCAACATGTCCAACACTGAGGTCCTACAAATCCACTCCACCTACAACCTGCCTATCACAGGTGATAGGCATGCCATCCTTCCAGCTGCTCAGGCCAGAAACATTGCAGTCATCCTTACAGAGCCAGATTAACCCTTCTCACCCCTTCCACCTCGCTCCCCAAGCCTCCATCATCTCTTGCCTGGATGACTGCTTTTACCCCCAAATAGCTTCCTACGCCTGCTTCTACACTTATTCCCATCAAAGTCCACTTTCAACACAGCAGCCTCAGTGATCTTATTAAAATCTTTTATCATTTCCTTCCTCCCAAATTCCTGCAGTGGCTCCTTATTTCTCTCAGAGTAAAATCAAAACTTTTATAATAGCCAGAAGGCCGTACATGTTCTGGTTTCTCACTGTCTGTCTAACTTCTTATCCTAATACTTCCTCTCTCTCACTCCCTCCTACCTTCAAGCCTTTGTTCAAATCTTACCTCTTACCCAACTACCTTAGCAGCCCCACTTCCAAAGGCTCTCAAATTCCCACTATTCTGCTCTATTTTTCTTCTTTCCATGCATTTACTATCTTTGGAGATGAATGCAGTTTTTTCAGATTTAAAGTATTTATTATGTTTATTGTTTATTATCTGTCTCTCCTCATTCCTGCCACCACCAGTGCCCTGTCTGTCTTGTTTGTTGGTGTAATCAGTGCCTAGAACAGAGTAGGTGCTCGATATATCTGTTGAATGAATAAAATAATTTGTTCAGCAACTTATTTTGCAAATTAATAGAAAGTACTTTCTCTGTGCAAGGCTTAGAGTGGAGTGGATAAAAAAAGAACAAGACAGGTTTTCTACTCATATGTAGCTTATAATCTGGTAAGTGCATGAATAACTCTCACATACATCGATGGCACTGAGTCCTCCGGGAATCAGGACCTGAGTAATGCCAAAAGAAAGAGCTACAGGACTCGGCAAACCAAGTTTGCCTCTGACTGGAATGATTCCAAGTGGCTTTGTGGATGGAGTATTTGAAGTGGACTTTGAAAGACAGGTGATAGTTTGATAAATAAACACAGAGAAAGAGGTGTTTGGGGATTATAAACCACCTTGGAAGACATCAAACTAACAAAAGAACACTGAAAGGACAGTCATGTATTAATAATTTAATAATTATGTCAACAATATGTTACCATCTTACTAAAGCGGCATCATTTATTTGTACTATAAGAGCTTTATAGGAAAGGAGAGATAATGATAGTCATTTGTCTCAAATGTGTAGGAACAAGATGGCAGTTGAGATGATTTTCTGAGAGCACTGAAAACTGAGCTAAGGAGTTAGGCTTCATTTATCTGATAAAGAATCATGTAGGGTTTGGAGCATGGGAGAAAGCAGATGCCATAATCATACTGAAGTTCGGTGAACTCACTTAGATGAACTCCTTGAATTGAAGGCAGCAATTTTGTCTTTTTAATCTTTCCATTCCTAGTACCCACCATAGCACCTGGCATATTAGTAGGTGCTCAAAAAATATTAGTTTATATTTCAACCAATGATTAAGGAGATGGTTAAAAACAAACTGTCAGGTGAACAAGTCACATTCTGGCCACTGTAGGGAGGATGGATTACAGGAGGTTAGAATTAAGAAGGATACTAAAGCATGGAAATAGGGTCACTTGAATGAAGGGAAGAGATGGCATAAACATCGCCATGTTGTAAGAACCAACAGGTCTAATCGGATATGCGGGCTAAAAGCCGATGAGAGATTAGTTCTTCCCCAACACGACCTAAATCTACTCAACTCCTAACGTTCCAACTACAAGATGTTTTGCAGTGAAATCAAATTTAAAGGTAAATGCAAAGATTCCAATGTGGGGTTAGAAACTAACATCTCATTAAAACAATTAACCATAGACTTTTAAAATAGGTAATTTCTAGAAAATTAAGCATAACTGCAGGCATTCATCGGTTTATAAAGGTCAGGCTTCTGAATGCTTAGATGTGGCCAGACAGAGGAAATTCTTGGGAGGCAGCAAGGGGTGTGTGTAAAGCTTCGGCCTTGAGAACTGGCAGGCCTGGGTTTAAGGCCTTCCTCAACCACTCACTAACTGTGCAGCCCTATAGAGAGACCTGAAATTTTAGTATCTGTGACTTAATGATAAAAATAGTAGAGAGTTATGTGAGGATTGAATGAGATCATATAGATGCCTGGCAGAGAGTAGGTACTCCATAAATGTTCATCTCCCCGGTTTTCTTTTCTTATTCTCTGGAATCCACAGAACTACCCCTCCTTCCAACACAGTTCTGACCAAAACATGCTTTTATTTATAATGACTCCTCCATGAAAATTTGTGTTTGTAATCATGTAGTCTATTGTCTTTTATTCTGTGCCAGGGTCCAGGCTTGCTCAGTTTCCTTCCACTTTCCCAGAGCTCAACTCCAAATATGGTTTCACCAGCAAATTTCCCAAGTATCCTTTTATCCTGTCTTCAGGAAGATTATTAATGAAGATGTAAAATCAGGCTGGCATGAGTAACAATGCTTAAGGCAATCCTCCAGACACTTTTGTTCCACTCAACAGGGATATGGTGTCATTTATCATTAGGTCTTGTTACAGTTTTCTGACCCCTTGAAAAGTTTGCTCGTGTCCACACCCACAGGAATTAGTCTTGCAAGTGAATGCTCAGGAGGGACTGAATTAAATGTCACAGCACTACAGAACATCCGTTACATCACACTAACCTATCACTCTCTGCTCTTATAAATCTTTGCAATCAAAACAAATTAGTCTGGCATGTTATTTCTAATAAACATTCTCTTTTGTTGTGTGTGGCTTATGCCCAAAAGAAGATAATAGACCAGTTGATAAAAGTCACCAAATCTCATCATTGGTTCAAACACAGTCAAGTGGCAAATAAAGGATAATAATTCCTTGGCAAGGAGAGAAAGGAAGGGCAGCAGAATGGCCTATACAAGATGCTGCCTCATGAAACTCACTCTACAAAGTCCTAGAGGGAAATCATTGTCTGGTTTGAGAACCAAGGCCAGTTGAGATTTTCTTGAACTTGCTTTTTTCTAATGGACTCTAGACGGTATCACTCACGGGGGTTCTCTTTTTCCATTTGCTGAAAAACTTGAGCATTGCATGGGTGGCTCAGTTACAGCAGGGCATGGGGGGCACAATGATGGGATAGTTCCCAATCTCTCTCCCGGCTCCATTTAGTCTCCATATTATTTTCCTTGCTTCTTCCTTCTCGATTTATGTTCAAACTGTGGAAAAGTGAATATGATATAAAGTTCACCATATCAACCATTTTTAAATGTACAATTCAATGGTATTAAGTACATCACCGCCATCCATCTCTAGAACTCTTTTCATCTTGCAAAAACTGAAACTCTGTACTCATTACATAATAACTACCTATTCCCGCAGCCCCTGGCAACCACTCTTCTTTCTGTCTCTATGAATTTGACTCTTCTGGGTACCTCATATACACAGAGTCATACAATACCTTAGCATTTTTAACAAATGCTGTCTTCCTGTATTTTATGTAAGTTTATAACCCCATTTGAAACAAAATGGAGAATGAAATAAATGAAAAAAAGAGCAAAAATATTTCCTGGGGACCAATCCTATATGCATCGGGTCAGTGGCAAGGTCATAATGCTTGCTGATTCGCATAAAACACAATGGATTGTAAGAAATAGTCGTTATTTAAACAGTTAGCTAATGTGTACACAAGCAGCCTATTTAAGATAACAATAAGGTCAAAGGAGAGATGGAACATAGTAGAGGTTCCCACGAGGGAAGAAATATCAAGATCATTGAACAAGGAAGCAACTGTGGATTGAAACTCGTCCCTAAAAGGCTAGATGCCAATACACTGATCACGAAGGTTATCGATAAAGCCACTTCCATAGCAGTGGTTCTCAAGCTCTAGTTAACATGAAAATTACTCACCACAAACCTACCAAATCAAAACTGTATTGACTGGGACTCAGGAATCTGAATATGTCACCAGCTGCAGGGCTGGTCCAGACACAGAAGGTTCTTATCGGCGTGGAGAAGCAATGGTCAGTGCAGTGGATCGGAGGTTGTGAGGCCTGCCTCTGACCAGCTGAGTAGTATAATCTTGGATTATGTTATGCGCATAGACACATGGTATCCATTACTGCCTATTTTTACGTGCTTCACTTGTTTTCTTCTACACTGAGTGCTGCCTGACTGAGCTACCAAAAATGGAGACAGGGGCAAGAGAGAATGACCCACCAGGGGAGGGTCAGCAAGGGCCAGCCCTGCCACTACCCCGACGCTATCCCACCATCATTATAAGCCTGTGGTTGTTTTATTTCATGTTTCCTTTTTCATCTGCCCCTTTGTCACCAGGTATAGACTGGCTGGAGGGAAAATACTGGTCTCAGGGAAACTGTGTGCAGTGTGAAAGATCAGACTCTGACGTCGCTCTCATTTATAGCTTTTCCTTTCTTTCTAGAATATGTCTGTGCTGGAGAATCACCACTGGCGATCTACAATCGGCATGCTTCGAGAATCAAGGCTTCTTGCTCACTTGCCAGAGGAAATGACGTAAGCGGTGTAGAGCTGAAACGTACTGATGTCCACACCTTAGAGATCAGCTGCTTTCTCCAGGGCATGCTGGAGACCCCAGGGTTAATGGCGGGGAGCCAGACGGCTGTGCTTCCTGCCTGCGCTTGGTTGTCGATCAGGTGTCAGTTACAGCAACCCAGAATCCGAGTCTCTCCGTGAGCTTTGAAAGGCCCTTGCGTAGTCTATGACCTAACATCAGGAAGAAGGATAATAAACAACTCTCAGCTTTCACACTCTTCAGCATCAATGCTCGGCTTTGTCCAGTTCCTGTCTTTTATGTTAGCAACATTGTCCTCCCACGAAGATCCAATAATAAATATTTATCAAGAAGGAACACAGGAGATCTCAAGCTAGATTTAAGACTAGTTCAATAAAGTTTGTTTTGTAATGGCCAGTCTTAGCAAAAATAGAAGTCAGAAATTCTTTCCTGAACTGTCTTTTGTTAAAGTAACTGAATTGGCCCCGGCCGTTTTTTTGGCCATTAATTTACCTATGTCTCTTGCATTTGAAACAGAAAGGGAGATACCAGTTTCCTCGTCCACTGTTTGTTAGCCCAGGTATTTAGGCCAAGTCCTACTAAATCCAAGGCCAGTACCTCATCTTCCACATGGTCCTGAGAACTGCTGTAACATCTTTCAAGGCTGCCACTAATTCTGACCTGTTAAATTAAATGCGCAGAGCCCAGGATAGCTAGAGGAGAGTAGATAGATAAATCCCTGCACCCTTCTTTCTGAAGGCTGCATAACTTAGAGTGCAGCACTGAGCCGCATCTCTGTGGAACAGGCAGTGTGCTCTGGGCTCCTGTGTTTCCTCCCGGCCCTGTGCTACTGCCCGGTGCCGTTCCCTAGCGCCCAGAGGAATGCGGCATTTGCAGAAAGAATTTTAAATCTGATAGCTTTTTACCTCCTGGAATGAAGTAAAACCAATCATCACGCACGGCATAAAAACCTGTGCCTTTTGCTAGAACAGTTGGAAAGATCCAAAGAACTAAATGCAAAAGAACTAAAAACTCGAGTAAGAAATCAAGTAAGAAGGAGAAGAAGGGAGGGGGTAAGTGGCAGGGACAGCTAAAGAAAGAAAGGAGGGAAGGGAGAGAAGGAGAGAGAGCAGACAGGAAAGAACAAAACTAAAGGAAGAAAGAAGGGAAGGACTCGGGACCAGACTTGTCTCACCCGCCTTAATCCTGCTGGTTGCTCAGCTATATTCATTTCCTGAGATATGCCTCCTCATCCCTCTGGATTCCAGATAAAAATGCCATGTTTGTTATGCCTTTGTGGGATGCAGGGTTATAAATCGCATTTGTAGGAAGAATAATTGTTATGCAATAATTCGAAAAGGGATATGGGGGCAGGTGCAGGAGTCAGTCCTTGTATGCAGTTGCCTATGTATTCATGTTCTCGACCTGGCTGGGGATGACAGATATTTACTTCATACCTATTCATTCAACTCTGTGTGCTCTCTGCACCCTACAAAATAAAAGGATATAAAGTCTGACACCATATACCAAAGACGGGGGTGGGGGGCAGAGGAGTAAAGAATGAGTTCAAACATAAGCGACCATCAACTTCACATAGACTGCTAAATGCAGATGTTACATACAAACCTAAATATATTGAATTGTTATTATTTATTTATTGTGGTGGGCAGCAAAGCAAGGTTTATTGAGCAATAGCAAAGTGATAATACAAGGCTCCCAAGGAGGGAGGGGACCTGAGAGGGTTGCCCTATATTGAATTTTTAAAGATGAATTTTTAAAAATAGTTACGGATCTTTTCTTCTGTTGATTATCTTCTATGTGTGAGGTAAAGCTCTAATTTGCTTATTTTTCCAAAATATCTCATTTTCCCTATACCGTTTGTTGACTAATATATTGCTTGCCCACTGGTTTTTAATGGTGTCTTAACTACCCATGATTCTTTTTTAAGTTCCAGTATCTTTCCGGGCCTGTTTTGTTCCATTGGTGTATCTTTCCATACCATAGAATAGTCACTGTTATTATCTTCCTTATTAGTACTATCATTATGCCCTTTCTCTCCCCATGCAAATCTGAATGTTTGAGCTGGTTTCAACTCTTTTGGAGCACAACCCAAACTCCTGCGATTCTATCAGTCTTTTTGTGTCCCCCTTAAAGCATGCATTTCTAGTGGATTTCAGGTCTTAGACCCATGGTTACCATGGGAATGTATAAACTACCACAACTTTGTTCACTCAAGGTTTCAGTCACGCTGTACAGTTATTAGCACACCTCCTGCCCAAAGACAGAAGTGTCCGTGGGTGAGAGAATCCCCCTTGGGCTCAGAGGGACTGGACTCTGGGTGATAAACAGAATCAAAGGCAGAAATGAGATTACAAGCCACCTGACGGTGGCAGAATCAGTCACCCTCCTCAAAAGGATCTGCTTTGTGTGTGTGTCTTCTCTTTCCCTCTTGTGGATGCAGACAGGATATTGAACAGCAGCTGGGCTCCTTGATCTTGGCAACAGACATCAACAGGCAGAATGAATTTCTGACCAGATTGAAAACGCACCTCCACAATAAAGATTTAAGACTGGAGGAGGTACACGACAGGCATTTTATGCTTCAGGTAAACAACAACAACCCCAAAGGCTGCCATCCTTGCTGAGTAAAAATGCTTCTTCGGGATGTGATCAGTCACTTTAGCACCTGTGAGAAGGAGTATCCCCCACGGGATAAGTTAGAGCAATGACTGACCTTATGAAAAGCTCTGAGACACATGAAATTTTTAAGTGATTTCCAAGCAAGCAAAATCTGGTTTTCGTGTCATTAAGTTGATAATCTCTCACTTTTCCTTGACCGGTAGCTGTGTAACCACAAAGTAGCCCTGCGGGACGATTGTACATGGTAAGAACCTACCACGTTTTGTGGCTCAATGTAAAAGTGACCACTGTGATACCTGTACAATTTAGAAATACTGTTTCTGTAACACAAAACTAGATTATATTAACTGTAGTACGAACAAAATTGAAAACCAAGTAAACTTCCTTCACGTAAAACCTGTTTCATCAAACCCTGCTTTACTTCCTTTTATTCCTAAATTCATCACTCACAAACATGTTTACCTAGTCTTACCATTTTTAGACACCAGTCAATAAATTAGGTTAAGTTTAACTGAATGAACTAAATTGTGTCAGGCGCGACCCTTCCTGCTTCATTCCATGACAAGAAGCCATTTGTGACATGAGAACAAGAAGACGAGTGGACCCCAGGAGTGGAGGTCTGAGCTGGTGTCTAAATGAAAGCCCTTTTCTTGTATTTTCTCTTGTCCTCCTTCTTTCCTTTTGGCACAAAAGGCTGAATGGATGGACCCTGGATTCCTCTAGATAGACCAACTTTACCCAGGGAAATGGCGCTGCACATGGTGGACTGAACTGGACAGTGGTTTTGTTCCATGCTTTCCTGCTGCCCTCTGTGGCTGTCCCCAGTACTCCATCCTTCCGAGGAAATGCCTTCCTCCCAGCTGTAGAACTAGGTCTCCGTCCTTATTTTCTTTCCAAACTCGTGTTCGGTCCCCGGGTGCCACAAAGATCAAGGTATCTGGTGCTCACGACTCCAGCTTGGTTGGGAGTAGCTGAAAGAATTGGCCGGCACACTTGCATTTCAAAAGGAAAGCTTGCTAACGCAAATGAATTCCCAAAGGGCAGAGCCTGGAGGCGACTTCTGCCCCTCACCTTCTCCGTCTGGACTGGTGTCCCCCTCAACAATCGAATTTGTAACTTTAATATGATCGGGGCTTTCCCAGACGCCAGCACGGTCAGCGATTCTGTGATGTCAAGGAACTGGGTCAAAACAGATAGACTTCGTTGGTGGGCAGGGCGCACTAGCGGGGGCCCATCCCAGCGGGCAGTGGTTAAGGGAGAGAATCTACTTTTCTGGGAATTCAAGGTAACCCTCTTAGAGTCAGCATCCCAGATCCAGACCAGTGTGAGGTAAGCCTTAAATGAGCTTTGCAAACAACAGGCTCCAAGGTTTGATAGGACCGAGCTCCCTGGCTGGCAGTCGGGGCTTGCTTAGGACACACGGACACAGGCACGAGAGCGCACGCAGAAGTGAAGGGACACATGGAGTGTGTCAGTGTGGCCACTGTGAGGGGGAGGTCCAGATGATCTCACTGGAACCCTGACTGGGGCCCCTGCGGCTTCCCTGCTCTCAAGGGGTGGGGCGGGAGAAGGAGCCAGGCCGCCCGCTTTCTTTGGCCACCCCACCCCAAGCCTCCTCCAGAAAGCTCCGTGTCCTTGGACGGTGGCTCTTCTTTCCTTCTCAAAGCTATAAAGTGGGAATTCTGAATGAAGGGTTTGTGTGGTGGTGAAGAAGGGCTGTTTCCTGAAGAGGTGCTCTGTAAATACGGACTCGGGACCATGAGGCACCCTGGAGGGCGGGACGGGCCCTTGGGCGTAGGGTGCATTTGCTGCTGAGGGTCATCCTCCGACCATCTCTCCCCGCCCCGTCATTTCTCAGATTGCCTTGAAGTGTGCCGACATTTGCAATCCTTGCAGAATCTGGGAGATGAGCAAGCAATGGAGTGAGAGAGTCTGTGAAGAATTCTACAGGCAAGGTTAGTAGTGATCTGACAGCTGAGTTTTCCCCGCCCCTCCTCCTGTTGGACGTTTATCCTAATCGAACAGGAAATGGCTAATCTATCATGACATTTGTTCTTTCATCAACTCTTTCCTAACCTTTCTTTTTGACTCTCTTGCAAACCATCTGGCCCTTTTTTGGAAATAATTTAAAAATAAATAACACTGTCTTACTATGAAAACAGGTAGTCAAGAGGTGTAATAAAAATGAGCAAAAGTGAGAAATAAATGTATGTGTGTATATATATTTATATGTATGTATATATAATTTTTTTAATGGCTTTCCTCTGTGGATATAAGAATGTGAGGGACAGCTTGATTTTTACTCTGACCTTCGTTTTAAAGAGCTTAACACAGCCTAAAGGCGAAATGCCGTTTGGGGTCAATGTTTTCAGCTCTGAAGGGACTTAGACTCCTTCTGTATTCCTTCCCCTGGCTTCCTTAAACAAAGTTAATAATGAAACCGAGCACAGCTGACCAAGAATTGAGCTCATCCTCTCAAACATATTCAGGGAGAAGAGAAATGGCCTCAAGTTCAGGTATAATTTTTAAGAGATTAACCTCATTCAGAAATAAGGCTATGAATTAGCGAACAGGATCTTGACGCTGGGTGGGATATCGGCCTTTAAACACAACCTTGTTTCTTCAGGCCTGGTTTCAGTGCTCAGGATGTTTGTTCAGGCACAACAGTGCCCTGATGTTAGCGACAGGATCAGGTTTGAGAGGCTGAGAACAAATAAAGCCTGAAGTGTCCCACATACCAGCTCTGTGGGGAGGTCAAGTAGCAACAGTGAGCCTTTTGGAGAAGCTTCCATCAAAAGATGTGCCAGTGTCATTGAGATGGTCCCAAAGACAGAAGACAAAGCAGAAGGGGTTGGGTTCACGTGGGGCCAGAAGGCTCTGCTCACTATCTCTTTCGCTCAGGGGAAATGCGCTCATAGAGTGCCCACAACCTTGTGTGACTTCACTTCGATTGAGTGTGAGTGGCTAGAAGTCAAAATCAGTTCTCTTGTGGCCTATGATATAAAATCTCTACCGAGAGAAAACAAAAGGAAATATGATGAAATTGGAACAGGAGGCTTAGATCAGACAAGTATTTACTCTGTGATATAGAAAATATTGAAATAGCAATATGAAAGAAGGGCTAAGATCCTCATGCTTGGAAATCAAATGATGGGGCAGAAAAGAGATTCTCCTCTGTCCCTCTTGGTTTTCACTCAGTCATCTGCTCCTGTTGGCACTGATTGCCCTTTAACCCTTTCCTTTGCTCATCTTACCTCCTATTTAGATGATGAACAACTTGAGGCAGGGGGCCATGTCACTTGTGCAGATAGTAAAGGCCCACGGAGCTGGGGAATTGAAGTTATTAACTACATGGAGTAAATGGGACCAACCAAGAAAGGGAATCCATAAGATCTCTTTACCAAAACCCGTTGTTGTCCTAACAATATATGCACATGCAGTGTTATAAGATAGAACAAACTAGAACACGTGTAACTCCCTGACCACAAAAGGTGAGCTTCCATGCACTTTGCTCTGGTGTGTCTCCTGGCAGAGAAAGGAACACAGAGAGGGTATGTCAGGTCCTTTTTAATTTAATAGCATTATGGTCAAGCAGAAGTTCTACCTGTTTAAAAGGAGAAAGAAAGACTGGACTCTCTGGTCATCCAAACCGCCTATCCTCTTTAGGGAATTAATTTTTGTAATTCTATAAGCATCATTTGTATCATTTTGATCAATCTTATTCTGGCTCTCAGTTTAGGATTTGGGTTTCCACAGACTGCTCATAGTCTTAGCCCAACTATCTTTAATTGTTCATGATGCTGAGCAAATGAAAACTTTTAAAATCAAGGTTGAGGACTTAGGGGGGAAGGAAGATGACATCCCATGAATTAGGAAAATAGCATTAAATTCTGAGAACAGAAATTAGGATTCTGAACATCATTCAACTCCCTCTTCTCCATGTTTTAAGGACGTAGAATCTCTGTCCTGTTATAACCACCGATTGATATCTTCTCAATCAGCTGAGATTCCCAAGAGTTTCTATTGAACATCTGCTTCCAGCTTTGTCTAAACCTAAGCACAACTGTTAATTTCCCTATGTACAAAGCCCCACGGAGGAGTCGTGAAGGATACAAAGAAGTATAGTTTAATGGTTCATAACCTCAAGATACTATGCAGTAAATTTCCTGTAGGAGCAAAATGATGCAACTTTCCTCTTTGTATTCTCTACAGTGATTAACAGAGAATCTGAAATGTACAGCTCTTTATAAGTCTATGTTGAATGAATAACTGATCTAACTGGATGACCTCTCAGTGGAGGTCACAGGAGAAGATTGGTACTGAGGACATAGACTCTGAACTGGATGTGTTGGAGGATGTGCAGTCAGTGTCCTGTATTTTCCAATAGGAGAGCCATGAAGCATATGTGACTAGTTAAATTTAAAATAATTAAATTTAATTAAATTCAAATTTTAGTTCCTCAGTTTTATTGATCATATTGCAAAAAGCCCCTATGTTGGGCAGTGCTGAGTACATTTCTATCATTGCCAAGAGTCCTGTTGGATGCTGTTGGTCTGCCTAGGGAGGGATAGACATGGACAAAGGTATTGAAATGGGGACCTGCTTCATATAGCAACCCGGACCCATAGAAAGCAAGAATGTGGGGATTTGTGGATTTGTACACTAACCAGGCTCAAGTAGAGAACATGACAATGAGAGTCATCTTAGAAAGTACAATTGAGGCAACACATATATTCAAAGTAGAAGAAATACTGAAGGAAGAAAACTAGCTAAGAAGCAAACACTAAAAGTGAGTTATTAATAAGCTAGAATAGAGTCAGGCAGAGTGTGAAAAGGGGAAAAAAGATATCCCAAAAGAGGAATAAACAGGATTTGATGCCTCAATATGGAGGGTGAAGGGAAGGGAGAAATCAAAGATGATTCCTCCCAAGTGTCAAGCCTGACTGAAAAATCACGATGAATAGAATTATGGAAGGAAGGAATAGAACTCATTTTAATATTAGAACTCATTTTTTTTTATTTTTTTAAGATTTTATTTATTTATTTGACAGAGAGAGACAGTGAGAGCAGGAACACAAGCAGGGGGAGTGGGAGAGGGAGAAGCAGGCTTCCCGCTGAGCAGAGAGCCCGATGCGGGGCTCCATCCCAGGACCCCGGGATCATGACCTGAGCCGAAGGCAGACGCTTAATGACGACTGAGCCACCCAGGCGCCCCAAACTCATTTTAATATTAAATGGCATCATGCCCTATCCTCAGGAGGCTATTATCGTCTGGCTTCCCTGGGCTCCTCAGGTTAAGCCAGACTGATTTCCTTACCTCAGTCTTGAGAATAACCAGGGCCCAAGGGACCACGGGAAGCATCGCTACAGGCTTAAAACAAATGACAGAGGTGTGGCATCTCTTAGGTTCTAGCTCAGCTGTTAAGTGCAGACACTTTGGAGCCAGACTTTTAGGTTGGAATCTAGGCTCTCCCCTTTACTAGTAATGTGACAACTTGGGTCAAAATACTTCCCTTCATCTCAGTTTCTTCATCTGTAGTATGGGTACTACAATGAAGTTGTTATGAGGATGAAATTAATTAACATATGTAAAATGCTTAGAATAGTCCCTGGCACACACTAAGCACGATATAAATGTTGTATTTAGATCTCCTCTCGTTTAGAGGTGTACATTCGCAACTGTGAACTCAGCTAATGCTTCCGAGGACCAGCTCCTCTACTGATTAACCAGACTGTTTTTCCCAACACAAAATTTACCCATAATCTTTCAGCCCCCAAAGGATTGATAAAGTATTCTGATAAAGCTTTACATGGTACATTTCACCTTTGGTCTTCTAGCTGGCAAAGGCATTGAAAAGAAGTATTTTTCTGAATTTTATACTTTTTTAAACTTTAGTTACTCAAGGTGACACTGAGTCTGATTAAAGGTGATAATCTTTATTTCTGCTTAATATTGTAGCTATAGACGGAGATGTTCCTCAAGTGAGATTTTCTAGTCCCTCACCCCCACCCATTTCCTGCCTACTCACTATTCCTGGTTGTTCAGAGGAAATCAGACTAGGCTCAGGCAGGGGGAAAGGCTGGGGGAGCACAAAATCTGTTCTCTTAACCTGTAACTTAAAGCCAGAACTTCTGTTTCATGAAGGAAATTGCTCATTACTTGTATCCTTGTTTTTATAGATCTTGGTCAAAAGTTTATTCTAGCCCCAGAGCATACCTATTTACAATGAGTCTATTGTAAATGGTCCTTGACACTGATATTTTAAATTTTCAGAAGCTACCAGAGCAAGCAAGCGGGTGCTAGGGAGTTCCTAATGGTAACAGGCAGCAAACGTTAATTCCCAGAATAACTTCTTTGAACTAGATCACTAAAGCTAACAACACTTATTTTTACAAATTCTAGATTACCAATGTTTCTTCTTCTTTCTTCTTAGGTGACCTTGAACAGAAATTTGAACTGGAAATCAGTCCGCTTTGTAATCAACAGAAAGATTCGATCCCTAGCATACAAATTGGTGAGTTGAATTCAGTTCTAATTTTTTTTCAGTTTTAATTTTAAATAAATACTTTTGGTACCTCTGCCAGAGTCACAAAGAAAAGAAAATCTCCACGCAGCCTTTGAAAAATCCAAACTGGAGGTTTAATGAATGGCTGAGTCCAAATAAACCCTCTAATCATGACTGAACTACTGGGTAATTTCCAACTGAGAAACTACAAAAAATGGAGTAAAGGCTTTGTGTCAGACCCTTAACTAGCCTCTATTAACTTTGTAGTTCAGAATCAAATCAAAACCAAATCGAGTAGAAGGAAAGTCATGAGAACCAACTATTGGCTGCTGAAGAACAGATTAGTTCACACTGTTTAGAACTTGATAAGTAGGAAGTCAGCATAATCAACCTTGAGGACCTTTCCAATCTGCCCCACTGCCCTTCATCCCCAACGTAATCCCAAGGGCCCATCCTCTGCAAACCGTGTTATTGCTTGTGGCGTGGGGTCCCATGCTTCTCTACTCTCCACTTCAAAATTATTTTCAGTCTTATTCTCAAGAATCAATTGCAGTAAACTCTTCAACTGTGATGCTAATGCATCTAAAATAATTATTACTTTGTTATGCATAAAATCATTAAACAAATCAAATGGTGGAAATTTCAGGCAAATAGGAAATTATTTTTGATCCAGTAAGAATTTCTATCAGTTCTTAAAACACTCTACCAATTCCATTTACATTTAAGGCAAGTCCTTCATCCTTGCAGTTCCTTCCAGTTAAACCAAACTTAGAAGTTAAATTCTCGGGCTCCTGGGTGGCTCAGTCGTTAAGCGTCTGCCTTCGGCTCAGGTCATGATCCCGGGGTCCTGGAATCGAGCCCCACATCGGGCTCCCTGCTCAGCGGGTAACCTGCTTCTCCCTCTCCCACTCCCCCTGCTTGTGTTCCCTCTCTTGCTGTGTCTCTCTCTGTCAAATAAATAAATAAAATCTTTAAAAAAAAAAAAAAGTTAAACTCTCTTATTCATAAACTAGCCCTGACATGTACCAGCTCCCACAGACCTCAGAGAGCTTAATGCATTCACAGGGTGCAGCCCTCTGCAAGGCTCAAGGTTTAAAGCCCCTACTTGGGAGGGAATGGGGCATCAGAAAAAAATAAGCTGAAAATTAAGAAAACCAGAGCAAGTTAGTCAAATAATAGTATGCCTATAATCACTAGGAGTCAAATCTAATCCACAAAAGAGTCATAGTCATCCTCAGGAAATAGAAACAAAATTAATCTAGTTACAAAGATTTGAATAACATATGCAAATATTGAAATAGATATGTAGAAATTATGGAATTATTGGTGATCCATTTTTTTCCAAATTGCCCTTAGTATTGTTAGGTTGTTTTTACAATTAAACTGATTCTTCCACCCAAAAAAGGAAAAGGTGGGAGTGTTATAAAAAAAATAATAATTAAATTTAAAAAAACAACCAGGAAGAATCCAGGGTGATGACATAGCTACAGAATCCCTGCGACAGTGTGGGGAGGGGAGAAACATCAACAGAAACTCAGACTTAGTGTCCTTGGAGCCAATCCCCCCTCTCAGGTTGCTTTAGTTATGGAGGTTCTGCAGATACGATTTAAAAGGAATAGACCCTGACCAAAATCCCAACCCTGGGGCCCTATTTGTTAAGCTCTGGTTAGAAAGAAATTTGCCAGGCTCCTGTTAAAGACTTTTTGTGAAAAGCATTCACATTGTGAAGCACACAACCTGGATTTGCAAGAGAGACTTGATTTTAGAGATTCTACCCTGTTGTTGTTATAAGAACACATTTATTTTGTCAGATCATATGTCCTGGTTTTCAGCACAGGAAAATGTGGTTACCATAGATACCTGTTTTTAAAATGGGGTGGGGATTGAGTGAATAGGAAAGTCTCAGGGATGCTACACCAGCACACCAATAATAAAGAGAGATAGAAGGTGATGATAAAACAACCCTTCGTACATAAATCTTTCTGAGTCTCTGTTCCACATCTCTGGGCTCTGTAAGGTCAGGGTTAGGAGGTGTGGCGTGAAGGGGTAGATCAGGCTAAACTGGAAAAATCCAAAGATAGACAGCGTCTGATGGGAGCTGCAGGCTTCAGCCTCCCAGACGAGGATTTTGCCAGCCGGTCTTAAGTAAAGCAGCTATTTCCTCTGCCCTGATTCTCCTGGGGCTGAAACTGTCCCCTCTCCTTTTCCTGTCCCAATCCACAGTGAGAATTTCCCCACGTGCCATCTCAGGTTTAGATCTGATTTTCTGTTTAAGTCATTCACTTTCACCCAAGTGGAAGTGGGATTTAAAATCCCTTTCCCGAGCTCCTGGGTGGCTCAATCGTTAAGCGTCTGTCTTCGGCTCAGGTCAGGATCCCAGGGTGCTGGGATCGAGCCCCGCATTGGGCTCCCTGCTCAGCAGGGAGCCTGCTTCTCCCTCTCCCACTCCCCCTGCTTGTGTTCCCCCTCTCGCTGTCAAATAAATAAATAAATAAAATCTTTAAAAAATAAAAATAAAATAAAATCCCTTTCCCTCTCTCCACCAAATTCTGCATTTTAGAAAGAAGGTATTAGATGGAATGAATCTCTAATTGGTGAAAGCTGTAGAAGGAGGAGAAAGAGGCTTGCCTTCAATCCCTGTTTGCTCTGAGGCCACCATGTCTCCCTTCCCCCAGCCCCAGCCCTGCAGGAGGACAAAATCCAGGCAGTCAGTCCATGGTCCGCTTGCATAGAAGAGAGAGCTTGACACAATGCACTGGGAACGGACGGAACAGTTTCCCAAATGTGATCACGAAGAAGACACTTTCATTTGGAAAAAGTACCTCCTGGTGTCTATTCAGACTTCAAAATGGGCCTTTCCTAATCTACTATGAGAGGTCTTTATATCGGACAAGTAGAAATACGGAGGGATAATCCCCTAGTAACGTCAGGAAGAAAATGAGTTGATTTTTAAGTACCAGATTTTTGAATGTTGGATTTGTACCTTTTTTATATTAAGGTAAACTTGATAAATATTTACACTTTAAACTTGAGAATAGTATAATTTTGTGAACTGTCTTTCTAATATCAAATCCCTCTTACGGTGAAGGATATTAGAAATTAGATATGGAGGTTATGGAGGTAGTAAAGAAAATTCGGGAATAGCAAACAAGAAAATTCAAGGAAATCCTTACTTGCTGACTCCCTATATAACCTTATCGTTGGCTTAAAATTTCCTCCTTAGGTTTGGGTGAGCTAAAATGATCTCATAATACTTAAATCATATTTCACATATGATGAGATAATGCAGAAATGTGAAATAACATTTTGCATTCCTGCATCCTTTTTCCATCTCTGTAGCATCCTCAAAGGCCAAGCATCTGCTGTTTGTTCAATAAAAAGATAATCAGATCAAGCCTTATAATTCACAGCCTTGTAAACATAAAGTGTCGTCAGTTGGTGGAAAATTCGTTATGCTGAAAAAACACTTGCCTTTTCTCCCCACACCTACATTTCAATAAAACCTAAGTATGTCCAAGTTTGTGATGATTCCAATCATCCCAGCCTAGACTGAAAGTCATCTTGGCTTTAATAAATCATATTTAATATGGAAAGCACCCTAACATTGAAATATGATTAGAACGCAAGGAGTCTAAACTAATTAAGAGAACAGACATATCTAATATCAACCAATCTTATCTGGTCATTAACATAGGGATTTTATGCCGGTAAAAATCCATATTGAAGATGAGTGAACTTGACCTACATTTAGGTCCTTAACATAATTGAGAGTAAGACAAAGCCATGGATCAATACTCTTGAAAAAATATCCTACAGGATAAACATATGAATTCTCCATATGGGTCTAAACAACGATGTGCCCCTTCCTGACATCATTCACCCTCTCCTCCCCTCCCCCACCGCCACCTCAGCTCCCACACAGACTTTTTCCTAGCTTTCTGTTCGAATGTCTTTCTCCCTCAGCAAATAATAACAGCCAACATGTATTTGAAGGTTTACTAGGTGCCAGGAGCTTTCTGAGCATTTCACCTGCCTCAAGTCATCTCATTGTCCTAACAACCCTATGGCTTTGGGACTCTTCCTAGCTCCTTTTTACAAATGAGGAAACTGAGGCCCAAGGGGTTAAGAAACAAGCCCAAGGTGACACACCTGGTGCTCCTAAACCGAAGGGTTGGGGAGCGAGTCATCTTTTGCCTCTGTATCTCTGGGTTGGGCACAGAGCAGGGTCCCACCTGGGTCTGGGAGGGAGGAAGGCGGGGGTTGTATCGCCTTCACGGGGCTGAACTTGGCCTTGCCTATTCTAGGTTTCATGACCTACATCGTGGAGCCACTTTTCCGGGAGTGGGCCCGTTTCACAGGCCACAGCGCCCTATCTGAGAGCATGCTACGCCATCTCTCCCACAACAAAGCCCAGTGGAAGAGCCTGTTGCCCAAGCAGCACCGAAGCAGCAGCGCGGAGCACACAGGCCCAGGGACTGAGAACCAGGAGCAGACTGGGACCGAAGGCGACGCCCCGTAGTCCCAGCCCCACTGCCCCTGCTCCACACAGACCGAAGGAGAACCTCCTCAAGCAGAGGCCTCCTGAGAGGGTGGCAGCTCTGGGCGGGCGGGGGGGGGGGTGTCTCGGCGACCAGCCCAGCCACGTGCTGGGTGTCGTCCCTGGGGCTCTCTGCAAGGCCACCCTCCTCCTACTCACCTGCCTCCTCTCCTTTTTCCAAGTGTACAGAAGCCATCCGTCACTTCAGCATTCGCTGCCGAAATAAGCAACTCCATTCAGGAACGTGGGAGCCGATTCTGGGGGGTGGGGTGAGGCAGGTTCGCCCCTCAACGAGAAGACCGGGGAGTAAGAAAGAGGTGCTCCTGCCATGTCCCCCTCGGGCCCTGGGTCACACTGTGACAGGCGACAGTGGCTAAGTCTAGAGCGTTTTTAGCATTTGCCATCTGACTGCTGATCTGCATGACAAAAACACCAGCATACTCGGAACTCCCAGGAGATGGGTCTTAGGTGCCAGAGCACAAATGAGAACATGAGAAAGGACCTTCTATTTTAATAATAATTATTATTATAAAAATAATAATAGATCTTTTTAACTTTTCTATTTTATGCACTAGACAATGGATCTAAAACTTGGGACTAAGATTACTCAGTGTACCCAAACTTGAACAGGGGGTTCATTGTTTTGTTACTGACTTGATGCCACTTTGGGTCAGAGATTTGGCGTCTGCTCAATTTAAGAAACCACGTTTCCTATCCGATCCGAGGGGAAGGTGCTGTACAGTTCATTCCTTTGCACCATTAGCCGATCTGTCTTTTATCAATAACTCAGATTCCGTGACATGTTTATATGCACACGTGTACATTTTCTGTAAATACCCAGCGCTACTGATTCCCATGCCAAAATACATGAGTATTATGGGATTGCTACCTGTATAAACAATGGCACTGTGAACAGAATACTGTTAGTTTTAATACAAGAGAATGCGTTTGTAAATCTGGTATAGAGTTTATTAATATACTATTGTTTGCAGATAAAGGCCTTAACTTTAAACATCTTTCATCTTCTGAAAGCTGCCCGACTTAAATCCTCACAGATATCCTTCTGAACTGCCTTCCCATGCCCGTCTTTGCGCTTTCCAGCTAAGGTCACAAACCAAAACTGACTAAAGTCTTTGAGGAAATATTCTGGAAACTTCACACGCATTCCGCTTGGGACCATAGTGTTTCATCTATGGCACCAAGCATCGTTTCCTCAGATTAATGAGACCTTTCAACAAGCCCGAAGTCACTTTTCAACTCAGCGGCGATGTTGCACACTCAGTTTTAACAAGCCAGCTGATAAGCTCGTGTTTATGTGACTCTTGTCTTGGACCGTGGCGGTGTGTCAACCTCGCAGGAGACGCGGCAGGTCTCACAAACCTCCTATGATCCTGTCATCTACCCATCAGGGAACTCCCTGCTCTCCCACCACACATTTGTCTGTTATGGCTACAGTACCAAAGCACCTTTGGTTTATGGTTGGCGTGCATTTCTTTGGCATTAATAGTAACTGGATTTTTCTTTTTCCTTAATTTCGTGTGAACAACTACTCAGTTATTTAGCTGAAGTTAACATTATTTAAGTCAAGAAAACATTTCAGTTTTTCGACCGAATTTACCTTCCTGGCAGGTCATCGTGGTTTGTTATGGTTCTAGCTAACAGAGTCACCTTGGAATCTGGTTGCCATTTTTTCTGCAGACTCTTGGTCGGAAAATCAGTTTGTTATAGCATCCTTCTCTAGTGACTAAACTCCATGCATTCGACCTTTTCCTTAAAAGTTCTAGCATAAGTAATGTTACATGAAAATTGTCATGTCCCTTTCTTCTTACCTTAAATAACATTGTAGTGGCGGAATGATAATCTGATCATTTCTGCCACTATCGAGCTTTTCGCAAGCTGACAAACTGACACCGAACTCTCGTTTTCTACATGCAACTCTTGTGGGTTTTCTCCCTTCCTAACGTACAAATTAAATGTTAGAAACTTGACGGGTTTATAATAAGTTTCTGTAGAGAGACTAAGGTTTGCCGAGTGAAGGTTTAGGGGAAATTTTGGAAAGTTGGTTATATTTTCATTAAAGTAGGAGAGATTGTCAGATGGTACTAGAGTAAGTGTGAAAACCTCATGAAATAGGTGGCTGATAAGTTGAAATTGTTGATATGGGTAAGAGAGAAGTTGTGAAATCTTAACTCTAACTTTTTTCTCTCTGTAATAACTATGAACTGACACATGATTCTTTATTGCTTTAATCCTCTGAAGCTCTCAGCTTGGTGAGGCCCCAAAAGAGAAAATGTTGAATGTATTCCTGCTTCCAAATCTCTCTTGCTTTGGTCTGATGATGCAGAGAAGAGCGTTTGAGTGGTCTGTGTTTAACGTTCATGAGATCAAATGAAGGAAAGCAATTGTCAAGGACGATACAGTGGAGAAAAGGGAAGATGCTATTTTAGTGAATGGGGCCTCTGCCTCGGGTTTAACAAATGGACTTTGTTTAAATTATATTTATATTGTAACTTAAATAAGTAAGATTGGAGGCATTTTTAGTAGTTCCAAGTTCGTAGGCCAAAAGTCTATGTTACAATTAGGTCTTGAAGAAGAGCTCACAAAGAAAACCACCAAATACCCAACTATGAAGCAGCTACTAGTACAATCAAAATTTGAAGTAAAAAGAGACACGATGCATAAACTAGATGCATTTTTGTCCTTTCAACCATCTGGAGTTTTCTTGAGTTCTTTGCTTTTTGGCAAAAAAAAAAAAAAAGAAAGAGAGAATGTGAAAACTTTTTTTTCCCTGCCTACTAGTGGCTTCCTTTCAATAGAGGAGCTCAGTTGCTAGTTAAGACACAGCTGTTGGATCATCCATGGGTTTTATCTTTATAGTCTCCTCCTGACCCATGGACCACCAATAGTTGACTTACCAAGTTTAATTCTGTCATTACTTGAGAAGAAAGGAATCAAAGGGCTATTTTTAGTAAGCAAAATAGAGTTCAGATCAAATGAAGAGAGAGAAAATATATATCACTGCCAGGCCTGATCGTCAAAGCCTGCTTCTCCTTTAACAGCATCCGTGAATAGTCAGAAACACATTCTTGAAGCCCTGATCTACCCAAAACTCCTCTAGGCTGAGGAAAAATCCCGCTCTGTTTCCACCTGCTTAAGGCTTCCCAACAAAGGCATTTGGAGCATGTCCAGCAACACTGTCTTCAGATAGTGCTTCCTACAAAACACAGACTTGTTTTGTAATCTTTTCTCATGTTGAATCAGATCTGCTCACTGATTTGAATTTGGCTCTGAGCTTGTGTCTCACTGTATTTCTTATGCTTTGTTCTTTTAAGCAAACCCTTAAAATTGTGTTGTTTTGTGTACACATGTGAGATTTGGACAGAAAAAAAAAAACTTGTGAGTTTTGCTCAAAATGTGGCCTAAATATCCATTGGCATGTCTCGATAAACAACTGAAAATAAAGATAATTTCTTAAAAACATCAAAGTATGAAAATATACTGATTCTCACCCGGTAACATGTTACCAGCGAACCAATCAGATTCAACAAAAAAGGCCCACTGCTCAGGAGAGGAAACTGTCAAGGGAAAAATGCACAGATACAGACATGGTCTCCATGTGACTCATTCTACTTGGGGCTGCAGGAACAGCCCTGTCCATGAAGGCCTCACTTGCTAGTTAATCCCAAGTTAGGGAAAGAGGGCTCTCTTTCTCCCACCATTCAACTCTACACTTCCTCTGAGTCCTGATATTTTTCTGTTTCACATTTTTCAAACTCATATATGAGTGAGAATGAGGTACAGTGGATTAGGTTGTAAAGACAAAGCCAACTTCATTCAATAAGTACCTGTGAAAAATATGGTCTTGCAGATTTCAGGACTGGAAACCATCAAGAACAATAGAGCAGTTCAGGCAGGACAACTGAGTCTCCTAAACCTATCTGGTAATAGAGGAGAAAAAAAAACCACCACTCTTGTTTCCCAGGAACAACCTTGTATCTACATAGTCTCTTCATGCCCCTTTTTATTAACATTGGATTCAGAATCTCACTGATCCCTTCTTGCTTCCTTGTGTCTGAATACAAAGCCACTTTTTCATGTGTGGCTATTTGATAATATAAAATCAAAATCAAAATTGAAACCCCAGTGGTTTTCCAAGTAACAGTCAGACATGATTTTCAAATGTCCCCGGGAAACTAGCTGAGACATTGTGAAATAAGTCAAGCCTATGTGAGCAATTGAATTTCGATTCCACAAATATTGATTGAGGATCTACCATGTGCCAGAGGTTGCACTAGATACTTGGAATATAAAAACAGCTCCTGAAAACAAAATAAGAATCATTTATCTCCCTTGTATCTATGCCCCCAAAACCCTAATTCTGGCTGGTAATGGTTCTGTTCCTCTGAGACAGGCCCCGAAAGGCTTGCTGGTCTTTCACAGGCTCCCCCGGGGGCACAGGTTGGTGCCTCCCAGCTGCCCAGCACTCACATTTGCACACATATTCTCAGCCAGTGCTCACCACCTGTCCTAGAGCAGGACCAAAAGCAGAGGCACTTCTCAAGGAACACCCGTCAGAGAAGGGAGAAGACTCAGTCCTGCCTCCATGACAATGTAGTGGACATGTGAGTAATGACTACACAGGGAGCTTTTAGCTACAGAACAGTCCACAATGGGATTTTTTTTTCCAACTAAGCCAAAGAGATTATTAGAAAAATTTTCAATTTTAGCTGATAGGATTTGAAGATGCATTATTGCCTTGTCTCAGTCACCCAAGCAATGATGTAGCTTTGATTCAATTGCCTGAAATGTTTTAAATTCTAGTATTGCAAGATTTAATCTTTAGTAATTTTTTTCCCCTTTTAAGGAAGCAATGCATAGTGTTTTAAAAGTGTGGGCTTGGGGTCAACAGACCAGAATTCAAATCCCTTGTTATCACTTGCTGCTTAACTCCAGGCAGATAATTTGATCTTTCTGAGCCTCCATTTCCTACGTGTAAAATGAGAGTAACACCTACCTTCTGGGGTGGTTGTGATGTCAAAATTAGAAAACATATATAAAAC